GAGAAGGCATGTAAAATTACACAACACTGGATGGAAATGAAGAAAAATTCACTCTCAAGAGGGCATTAATCCTCTCAACTACCCAATCGCTTCTTAAAACACCATTTCCCAGCAGCATTACAAAAGCAATCACATTTCCATGTAAGTTTTAAAAAAGATGACCCCTATTCGATTCCTGCAATCTCAGGATGGATGTTTTGCCATTTGAAAATGAATAACACATAAAAGGTAGGTTTACTGTATTCAAGTCAGATGGATGAAAGAATACATTTTCCTGTTGGTAAAAATTCTTATCAATTTTTCCCTCTACATGCTTATACCTTGGTAGCAATTAAGCATTTTCTCACATGCAGGTTTTATGCTTTGCCTTCCTGAAGGATTTTGCTTTTCCTTGTTTGCTGAGGGTAGAACCCGGGGCCGCAGGGATGCAGACCAAACTGCCTCACTGACCAAATCTCTAGCCCTCTTCTGAGTACTTTCTCTAGTGAGTCTTTTTTTTTTTTTGGATGAGTAAATTGAGATTCAATTCTATGGTAGAAAGATGCATGTTTTTAGGAAATGCTCCTATGGAACAGAAGTCAGACGTTACACAGAAAGTGAGAGACCTTGGAACACATAACTCTAAATGGGATGTTTTTATCAAATCCCTCCCCTCAGAGCTCAAGGAACCTTGCTGTAGAGGAGGCAGGAAGAGTGTAAGAGCCAGAAGGGATGGAGTAAAGTTCGTAAGAACTCACTTAGACTGAATCAGCAAGCACAGGGCCCACAGGGTCTGCACCAGGTACTCGGCGGCGTGTATGTTACGACTTTCAGTTTAATATTTTTATGGGATTTCTGAGTGGGTAAACTAGTGGATCTCTGATTCTTGTGCCTTCTCTTGAGGCTCTGTTTCTTTTGTTGGTTTGACCTGTCCAGCCTCAAAATAATGTTTTTGTTTCGTCTTATTATATTTCATTTTGTCATGTTTGGATATGTTCTAATGAGAGACTGAAAGGGAGTGGACACAGAGGGGTAGGGTGGGAAGACGGGAAGGAAGGAGGAGGAGGAGGAGGAGGAGGAGGAGGGGAAACTGCAATCAGGATATATCATGTGAGAAAAGAATCTATTTTCAAGAGAAAAGCAAAAAATAAATGCAAAACTAGCAACAACAAAATGGTTCTCTCAAAGTTTGGAGCCAGCAAACCAACTCTGTATTATATTTTCTTTAAATATTACCTAAGTTAATTTGTCAGTTCTTCTAAAATTAATTTTACTGTTATATTCACAAATTCTCCATTTTAAAGTTTGAATACTAGTATTTTTCAAATAGAACTTTAATTAATTTTACATTTATTCATGGCTGTAACTAAAATAAACTAATAACAACAGAAAGTGAGTAAACTATTGCTTCTATGCACTGATCTGTGTGTCTGTTTGTGTTCCAGGACCATGTTGTTTTTATCACTGTGTCTCTGTAGTATAACTGGAGATAAGTTTGGCAAAGCCTCCACTGTTACTCTTCTGGCTAATGATTGCTTTGGTTATCTGGAGTGTTTGTGCTTCTTTGTGAATTTAAGAATCTGCATTTCTGTGAAGAGTGGCAGTGGGATTTTGATTGAGATTACATTGTAATCTGTAGACTGAAAACTGCTCTGGAAGGTTGGTCACTTCTATGACATTCATTCTTCCAGTATGTGAGCTTTTTTTGACTTCTGCATTGCATATTTCTTCCAGTGTAGATAATGACACTCATTGCCGTTTAGTAAGATTTTCTTCTGTCCCCAGTTCAGTCTTGTGTCCTTCTAGCACATGCCTAATTTAATGCATTGTGATTTTTGTTTGAGTATTAGCCTTTAATGCTTTGAAAATAGCTTCATTCTTTGTTGATGGTCTACATTTAAACATTAATTATAGTCCTTTTGATTAGAATCTTTGACCAAAATATTTTCCTCAGACAATTTAGAGTTTTTATCTGGAAATGTGGTGTCCAGTTCTTCTCAAGCTTTATCTATGCATTATTATTTTTCCCAGGTTCAGTGTCTTGCTCTGTTGTTCAGGTGTATTTGGAATTCAAAGGACGCCCCGCCCCCCCACTGCCTTAGCCATGCAAGTAGCTTGGAGTACAGAAATGTGCCACTGTGCTTGTTGCCTTCGGGCTATTTTGAAGCCCAGTTTAGGCAAGACCATGTCTGTATGTAGTAGAGAAGTTCACTGCCAAGCCATAGTTCTCTCCGGTGTACTCTAACTCTGGGAGACTACCAGGGTCTCCACAGAGGGACTTCATAGCTCCTCAGCACTTCTTAGATCATCACTTAACAATGCAAAGACTAGAGGAGATCTTGGTACATTTCCTCAGTGACTACTTTGTGTAGTTTTAATCTTTGCATAGATTGCTCTTTAAATGTCAACCATTTCAATAACCCAATATTCCTATTGTCCTCAGATACTTTTTATCCTGATTATACTTCATGTCTCTAAGCTAAAGTCTAGAAAACAACCTCAGACAGAGTACTGGGCAGATCTTATGGTTTCTTTTATGTGTTGCCTTCTCTCAAGGGTCACAACTTTGTATTGGCTTTGTGTAAAAATTGAAATGTATCAATACATTTTTGTTGTTTTATTTCTAGTGTGGTTTATAGTGGCTATGCTGTCCTGGTATAAGTTAATTCACTGTGACTGGGGGTGGAAGTGCCAATTAACTTAACCTTCACATTTAGAACTGTACTCTCAAGATTTTTGTTATGTTGTGAGATAGAAAAATCTCATTGTGTTGTTTAGACATCCAATTAATCCAACATATTTTTTTAAACATCCTTCCCCACAGAATTAGAGCAAAGCCCTTTCATATTCTTTTGAAAAAAAAACCCCAACATTAACTATTCTGAATTTTCAAGCATTTCAAATACAGTGTACTGGGTTTTCCCCTTCTGGGAAGAGCTGTTGATATTTCTTTGCATCTAAAGGTAGTACTATCATTACATTATGATACCAATTTCAGGGTTATGGATTTAGAACCTTGTCACCTAAGGTGACAATAGAAATCAGTAGCAAATTCAGCATATTCAAGCTTCAGAATCCATTGTTTTCAGTTTTCCTTCCAGCTTCTTGTTCCCAAAATGCAAAACCTTTAGACAGTTTTGATTTTTTCTACACTACTTGACCCTTTTTGAAGAGATAGAATAATAATTATTAGTTGCACTATTACTACTGATAGTAAAAACTTTCATCAATATAATTGTCACTGTGGTGACTGGTCTCCACAGATGGCTTCTCAATGAACTCACACCCTTTGGAGCCCTCCCCCTTGTAATATATACACTTGCCATGTGTGCCCAAGCTAGTGTGATACTACACAACTTCTGAGGTAGGTCATAAGAGTATGTCTATCACATTTTGGGGAAAGCCATCTACTACATAAGAAATTCATCCATCAGAGATTGTGATGTTGTGATGGTTGTCAATTGCCTTGCTTGGCAGAAAGAAAGGAGGAAAAGGGAAATGAGGGAGGAAAAACAGCAATGGAAAGAGATGGGTAAAGAAAGATGGGAGGGCAGGGAAAGGGAGGTCAGAGACTCTGCTAGTTACAGACAAGTTACTTTTTGTGCAGTCATCTGGATGAAGATGTTTTAGTAGAAGTGTTATCCCACTGAGCCACCATCTCACTGCAGCCACACAAGAAATCTATAAAGTGAATTGCTTATAAATGATGAGACATGATTTTTTTCCATTCATTTATTTAGCTCATAAAAATGTCATGCACAATTATGATACAGAATACAGTATGTTCACAATGGCATGGCTAAATTAAACCAATTAACATGTTATATCACGCATATTCATCATTTTTGGTTTTGAGAACACTTAAAGTATACTACCTCACAACTTTCAAAATATAGCATATTGTTATCAACCATATTTATCATGCTCTCAGTAGACCTCAATACTTCAGAGAGTCCATGCCTCTTGTCCAACTGCAGTTTTATATCCTTAAACCAATCGTCTCCCCATTGTTAAAAGACTCACATTGAAGCCTAATAGCCACAATTCTGCTCTCTGTTCCCATAAGTTCATCATTTCTAGGTTACACATAAAATTGAAATTGTGTGACATTTGTCTTCCAGTGTGTCACTTATTTTTTTTTAGCAAGCATATAACTTTACTACTTACTAAAGATGAATCAAATTTGCATGCACAGGTGAACACTCAGTATATATATATATTTAAGCCACTAATTTTATGGGTAATGTAATTTGCTGAGAAGCCATAGATAAGCAAACAGTTATAGTAATGACTACTGAGAAATAGAATTAAGTGAAATAAGCTTTTAGTGTCTGAATAATTGTTGCTTGCAATGAGCTTTTGTCATCTGCACAATGACAGACTCTACACAATATTTTAGTACTAAAGAGTTGTCATCATTTAAAAACATTTAATTGTTCTCTTGACACTTAATAGGGGTTTGAAATGACCCACTGCTTCAGTTGCCATTACTGAATTAATTTACCATAGTTTTATTATATAACTTGAAGACTTGCTTGTATTAGCAGTGGTTTGACTTGAACAATCAAATAATTATTCCTCTCCTTTAAAAATTATTATTTTATTTTATTTCTATTATGTGTGCCTTGATATGTGTGCATATGATGAGATGTCTGTGGTTGAGTATGTGCCATGGAATGTGTGTTGTCAGAGGATGCTTTCTTCATGAGTCCCAGGGATGAACTTAGTTGGTTAGGATTGCCCATCTAGTGTTTTTACCCTTCAAGTTATCTCATTGGTCCAATTATTCCTTTTCTTTCTAATGACAGTATTTCTATTCTCTATCTATGTGCAGATTTTAAAAAATTGCTGCTTGATTTCCAGAAAAAGCAAAGAAAATGCTAACCAGTTTCCTAGTTGTTTTCATGAACACTAGTAATTTGTGGTAGTAGTTACTATTGTGAGAACTTACTTTGACTGGAAGGTTGGTTGCTTAGTCCCAGCTTATTCATGTAACTCATTGTTCAAATGGAACATCATCTTTTTCAGAGGGGTGTCTATTGACTGAGGGTGTTTTCCTGAATCTCTCAGCAGTCATGTCTCCTGCTTTGAAGTTTTAATGGGAGATGCTCTTGCTGGTGCTTCCTGCTCTTGTGCTGTCTTCTCCCATGATGTCATCAGATAAAAAGTGCCTAGCAAATCTTTGTTGCCTGTGTATCCAATACATTCAAACAGCGTAGTAAAATTCTTTGTTAAGTTCACAATGTGACCTTGTTGTACAATGTCATTATTGGTATTTATGGCAATTAGAAAATATTTGTATCAGTTATTACTGTGGATCTAAAGAAAATGGAAAACATAATGAAATACTAATTTCCTTTAAATTATAGGTGTTCCTAATACATATAAATATAAATCAGGGTAGAATCAAATGTGAAACAAAAAATATTAATTCACATGGTTCATAATTCACTCATTCACTTCTAAATTATGGCAGAAACTAGTTTAGGAAGCAAACTGGAGATTATAAGCCAGCTAGTAAATGCATAACCATTTATTGTCACTCAGATAAATTATTTATTTAGTAAAGATTCTTAAGTGAGATTGCCCTATTGTATAAATAGAAAGCTAAACTACACTGTTGCTTAGAAATGGTGTTTTATAACTGAATAAGAGATCAATGATCCAATGAGCAACCCTCTTAAAAAGGGGAAAATGCTCACAACTCTGCTATCTCTGTTGTAGCGGGGAGAGAATATCTTTGCTCCAAAATGGAAAATCATGAAGAATGTGGGTGAGAAGAAGCAGAAAAGAGAACTCAGA